CTCACATATGACAATAACCAAACAACAACAACAACAACTACTCACATATGACAATAACCAAACAACAACAACAACAACAACAACAACAACAACAACAACATATACTCACATATGACAATAACCAAACAACAACAACAACAACTACTCACATATGACAATAACCAAACAACAACAACAACAACAACAACAACAACAACAACAACATATACTCACATATGACAATAACCAAACAACAACAACAACAACTACTCACATCTGACAATAACCAACACCTCCGTGCTCAAGTCGTAACAACCACTGGGATGTTGAGCGCGACAGGTACAGTTGGTGGCGTTCCTGTCTCGTGTGAAGACAACTGTTCCGTCCGTCACATTCACCCCGTCACACTGTACGTATATGTCTGACGGAGACACTTTGGGAAATCCCCCGTCCACGTGACACTCCACGCTGTTCTCTTGACCATCCACAAATACTACACTGTTGTCAGCCGTGGATCCAGAGAAATCTGTGTCCTTTAAGGTCAACTTTGGGGCATCTTTGGGAGGTTCTGTACAGAGAGAAACAAAAGTAGAGATATAGAAATATATAGTGGGAGGTGTCTAAGGCAGCCACATGCTGTTGATGGGGGAACTGGTTGTCTTATACAGGTGGTTGTCTTATACAGGTGAGACAGGTGGTTGTCTTCTACAGGTGGTTGTCTTCTACAGGTGAGACAGATGGTTGTCTTATACAGGTGGTTGTCTTATACAGGTGAGACAGGTGGTTGTCTTATACAGGTGGTTGTCTTATACAGGTGGTTGTCTTAGACAGGTGAGACAGGTGGTTGTCTTCTACAGGTGGTTGTCTTATACAGGTGAGACAGGTGGTTGTCTTATACAGGTGAGACAGGTGGTTGTCTTATACAGGTGGTTGTCTTCTACAGGTGGTTGTCTTATACAGGTGGATGTCTTATACAGGTGGATGTCTTATACAGGTGGTTGTCTTATACAGGTGGTTGTCTTAGACAGGTGAGACAGGTGGTTGTCTTATACAGGTGGTTGTCTTATACAGGTGGTTGTCTTATACAGGTGAGACAGGTGGTTGTCTTATACAGGTGGTTGTCTTCTACAGGTGGTTGTCTTATACAGGTGGATGTCTTATACAGGTGGATGTCTTATACAGGTGGTTGTCTTATACAGGTGGATGTCTTATACAGGTGGTTGTCTTGTCTTATACAGGTGGATGTCTTGTCTTCTACAGGTGGTTGTCTTGTCTTCTACAGGTGGTTGTCTTGTCTTATACAGGTGGATGTTTTGTCTTATACAGGTGGATGTCTTATACAGGTGGATGTCTTATACAGGTGGATGTCTTGTCTTATACAGGTGGTTGTCTTATACAGGTGGTTGTCATGGCACACTACACTGTAATTTACAGCAGACAGAAGGTACACAGACCAACAGAAACAAAAGAGGGAGAGAGAGAGAAAGAGAGAGTAACAAATAAAGAGAGAAAGAGAGTGACAGACAGACAGACGGACAGATTGACAGACACAAACAAAGAGAAAGAGAGAAAGAGAGCGAGAGAAGGACAGAGAGATAGAAAGACAGACAGACAGAAACAGACAGCCAGACAGCCAGACAGACAGCCAGACAGACAGACAGACAGACAGACACACACACACACAGTCAGACAGACACACAGACAGACAAACAGACAGACACACAGACAGACAGACATAACCTCTTTAATCCGGGCTCCCTGCCGGCCAATGACAGCGCCCACAGCCCGCTGCGGCACACACACCTCCAGCACCGTGTTGCGAGCGGTCACCACCCTCTGACCACCGTACACTTCCTCATCTGGGGAACCACAACAACAACCATCATCATCATTATCATCATCATCACCACCATCATCATCACCATCATCATCATCACAACCATCACCATAATAATAATAATCATCATCATCATAATATTCATATAATAATAATAATAACAATTTTTTTTTTCTCTAATAAGTGTTCTACTGCACTTGCAACACAATAAGGTCATATAAGTGCCGAAGATTAGAGGTGTTACAAGAGAGTAACAAACATAAAAGAGGAGGAGAGATAAGGACGATAGATGTTTGATAGGAAAGAAGAAGCAAACCACACCAGAGCGCCCGCCAACCACCTAATAAAAATAATCATAACAATAATAATAACAACAATAATCACAATCATAATAAGGGGGTTCTCGTTGCAAAGAGGTAAAGGTGTTCACCTCTCATTCAAAGGTCTGGGGTTCGAATCTGGATAGCGACGGGGAAAATTTTCTCCTTTCACCCCCTTTCCTGCTCTCTAACAATGTTCTGTCGTCTGCTTTCGTCTCCACTTTCAGCCCCCACCCCCTCACCTCCTTTGCCCCCTCCTCTGGGCTCCTGACTCTTTCTGCAGCCTTTCTACAGCTCCTCCTTGGCTCCTTCTCACTGCTGAATTTCAGCCACATACCTAATCTTATGGAAGGTAAGATCTAAAACTTAGCTTTCCCGGACAAGGATTTTTTCTTTCCTAATCCTTACTTACTATTGTCATTTTCCTCTACTTCTGCTGTATGTTTGTCACTCTCTTGTGACCCGCTATTTCCCGGGTGCCTTGATAGTCGAAGCAGACTTTGTGCTGTTGAAGCTAGAGAGGTGCGCAGAGTAAGTCTGATTCCCTGTAAGGACTTCTCTGTTGACACCCACTCCTTGGCGCTCATATGACCGTAGGCAGTTGCGAACCGTAGGCAGTTGCGAGCGCCGTAAAAACTCTATTAAAACTAAAGCGCTCGGGTGTCCTGTACACGACAGTAGAGTCACCACTACACCACGGACAACGGCAACAAACCTTTTAGTTTCAGTCAGAGTTTTACGGCACTTGCAACACAATAAGGTCATATAAGTGTCAAAGATTAGAGGTGTTACAAGAGAGTAACAAACACAAAAAAGAAGGAGGGGAGATAAGGACGATAAATGTTTGATAGGAAAGAAGGCGCAAACCACACCAGAGCACCCGCCAACCACCCACGATGGCTGTTTGATAGGAAAGAAGAAGCAAGCCCCATCAGAGCACCCGCCAACCACCCACAATAGCTGTTTGATAGGAAAGAAGAAGCATACCCCACCAGAGCACCCGCCAACCACCCACGATGGCTGTTTGATAGGAAAGAAGAAGCAAGCCCCACCAGAGCACCTGCCACCCACCCACAATAGCTGTTTGATAGGAAAGAAGGAGCAAGCCCCATCAGAGCATCCGCCAACCACCCACGATGGCTGTTTGATAGGAAAGAAGAAGCAAGCCCCACCAGAGCACCTGCCACCCACCCACAATAGCTGTTTGATAGGAAAGAAGGAGCAAGCCCCATCAGAGCACCCGCCAACCACCCACGATGGCTGTTTGATAGGAAAGAAGAAGCAAGCCCCACCAGAGCACCCGCCAACCACCCACGATGGCTGTTTGATAGGAAAGAAGAAGCAAGCCCCACCAGAGCACCCGCCAACCACCCACGATGGCTGTTTGATAGGAAAGAAGAAGCAAGCCCCACCAGAGCACCCGCTAACCACCCACGATGGCTGTTTGATTGGAAAGAAGAAGCAAGCCCCACCAGAGCACCCGCCAACCAGCCAGGTAACGGACCTGAAGGAGCGCTGCGACGGTACAGCCAGTACAGCAGCAGGCTGCCCGCCGGCAGAAGCAGCGCGGCACACACTTGACCCACAACGCCCACAGACGGCATGACGCGCCCACGATTCTCCTCACCCCTCTCTGGGCAGACACACCGAGATCTGAAATAAAGAAAGAAAATGTCCGTTGGTCCAAACAACAGCTGGTTGACTTTCTACACAGTGAAGCATCGATCTAGTGCTGCGGTGAGGCAGGAAGAGCAAAGTCTTGTTGGAGTAATGATCAAAACATTCAGAAAATATTTAGTTTACTTTTAGTAAGAGTTTTACGGCACTTGCAACACAATAAGGTCATATATAAGCGTCGAAGGTTACAGGTGTTACAAGAGAGTAACAAACACAAAAAAGAAGGGGGGGGAGAAAAAGACGATAGATGTTTGATAGGAAAGAAGGAGCAAACCACACCAGAGCACCCGCCAACCACCCGCAAAGAATATCAAGTAAACAGGGAAATTTGTATTTTCACATCTTGCTAGGTTTTCACTCTCACAAACTGAATCAACTTCCATCAGCCCCTGCCCTGAGACTGTGATTATACGGTTGTACATAATATTTCACATAATAATACTGCAACAATTGCAAAATTTTGGATTCCCAGCGTTTTTTCACGTTTTTAAATAAAATTTTTCACAAAACAATTTAACACCTGGCCATGTGACTAAAGGGAAGTAATCACCCTAATAAGTCTCATTTGGGTGACAAGTTGGTTATTTCCCTTGTTATGGATTTTGTTCCTTGAGCCTGTTCAATTGTTCAATCCATCAAAAGTTGTTCTCATGTCTGCTGATGTTTCATGTTTGCCAGGTGTCCCTGCTTTTAATGATGTGCCAGCATCAGAGGTCCAGATGTCTTTTTTTAAAACATTTTTCTCCCTCTTACTAGAGGAATATCATTCGGTAGCTACAAGACCACATGTGTGTGCCATCATTCCTATCTGTTCCTTGTGTCCATTAGTATTATTTCCCTTATTTGTCAATCATATTCATCTGCTTTATTTCTGTTCCGTTTCTGTCCCAGTCATGCATCGTCTGACGTATGTCTTCATTGTGCTTGATTATTAAAAGTCCTCGTCAAGTCACAAAGAGTGTTGACATTTATTTACTTACAGCTGAAAGTTACAGAGATTTAATTTTTTTAATTTTTTTTTTCTTACTGATGTACATCTTTCCAAATACACAAAAAACTACTGATACTGATATGTTCTGTTTTCAATACTTCTGTACACAGATCTAAAACATGAAAATTCTTGTTGAAAAAGTGCAAAACGTGTCGTGAATGGCGTTACAGTAATTTGCATAATTTTTGCATTTGTCTTGCATAATTTGGCAATCTAAATTTGTATTAGTGCCTATTTGCAACGCCGCGTTGCGATTAACGGCAGTGCTAAATAAAACGCCGCGTTGTGATTAGCGCCAGTGCTAAATAAAATGCTGTGTGTTAAATATCAAGCTTAATCTACCTTTTATTGTTGAAAGTCATGATGGCTGAATGGACAGCGCGTCTGCGTTTGAAGTCAAACTATTATCTTAAGAGCGTGGGATCGAACCCCAGTCCTGGAAGTTTTGGTTTTATTTTCCCTTCTTCTCCTCTTCCCAACTGACCAACAATTTTTTCCCATAATTATAACTTGTTGCTTTGTAGTAGTGATGGAGCATGCACATTCTGGTTTTGTCCCCAAGAGGAGCTTTTACCTACAAGTTACTAGCACAAAGTAGGCCTATCTTTTCCTTTTCCCAATTTAGGCTTGGTTAAAGTTCAATAGTGACTTTCCTTGGTCTGTGAGTCTAATAATCCTTCATCTGTAAACAAAAAAAATCCCTCCATGCCCCCCCCCCCCCCTTCCGATTCACACCTTACTTACACACACACACACTTCCTTCACACACTCTCTCACTCACACACACACACACACACACACACACACACAAACACACGGGCCACTCCATTCGCAATTATTATCAACAAATCTCGAGAACAGAAACCATTCGGAGAAATAGACAATAGAGTAAGTATTTTCCAGAGTGTTCGGAGAAATAGAGCCGGCCATTCTTTAAGATGGACAGACGAAAGAGAATTATAAGCTAGATCTATAGGGGCCTAGACTCTAGATTCTAGATCTAGATGAAGATTCCAAGTATCTAGAAATCTAAATCTAGAGCCTAGATATCTAGATCTATTTCCTGTCTTGTCTGCTCAGTCTGATGCTATTGCTATCCATGCCATGGCGGGCCATGTCTTCGGCCAAACTTGGGCTTGTTGACTTGGGGTTTTGGATAGATTCCAGAGCTAGATCTATTTCTAAATCTAGATATCTAGATCTAGAATATAATCTAGATATCTAGACTAGATAGATCTAGATCTAGATCTGGATCTAGATCTAACATACTTTTACCGTTTGTCGTTTGGCAACCTGCTTTGTTGAAATCACTTTTGCAAAAGTTCTTCACCAGGTCACTGGTCGGACTTCCTCCTTGTGCCTTGTCTCTAGTCTCTCCCCAAGATCAGATCTCTAATAATCGTCCCTTCTTTCACTTTCGACTTCGCCGCGATGGTCCATGAATGAATATGAACCGACCATTATGCCAAATTGTAAACACAAAGTGTAGAATTCCGTGAATAACCTTGAGGGGTGTTTTTTTCTGACGATTTCAAAAACTTATAAGGATTATAATTCGTTTATTAATGCCATTAAAATATAGCAATCTCCCGATAATGAACTATTCCCAATGTGTTTGTGAGAGAGTTGAATACATCACAGAATAAAAGGAAAGTAGCCCAGATCTAGATCTAGTATTTTACAAGATCAGTGCCTGATATCTGCCAAAAGCCTGGAATGTGACAAGGTGAAGGCTACTCTTGGACTATTTATATCTTTATGACGTGTTTCCGGAATCCCTTGGGGGAAGGCCCAGCAAATCTATGAAGATCGGGGAAAGGGTGAGGGAGGGGGGTGTACGGTTGCTAATCAAACTAAATCAGCCAAGGATCTGTGAAAAAGATTAACAATGGTACACCACTGTTGTGTTGTTGGTTGTTCTAACCAGAGAAACAAAGTGGCAAGAGACTTAGATCTATCATTTTACCTGTAGTGTAGATATAGGGCCTAAATACCCTATGGGGGTGGGGGGGGGGGTAAACACCTGAAGGCTATCTCGCTTATTAGTTGATCAAATTATACCAAATTTCACACATATAACAAGCATAGTAAGGAGTCACAAAATACTCAATCAAAATTGAGAAAAAAGTTTCGCTTCCATGACTACGGCGGCCATATTGGATTTTATTGACATGCCTTACGTAATGAATGAATTTAATATCGCGCTTATTTTTTAAGGAAATAAATTGTATATTTGCAAGCATGTTAGCAAATATTAGATCTACAAATTTGTCTGTTGAATTTTTCGTAAACGAATTAGAACATTTTAATGGATTTTTCCTGAGGTAGATCTAGTTAAGTTTGCAAATATCCGTGAAAACCCACACTCCATTAGATCCACCACCAACAGAAATCTGTTGCATAGATCTAGATCTATCAAAAATTCTACAGACCAGTTTTTAATATTATATCTTCTCTTCATTCTGTGAAAACTTCATGAAGATTGGATAAAAAATGGTGGAGTTATTAAACAAAAACGTAGAAAAACCGCGTTTTGAGAAAACGGGCGAGAAAGGAAAATAAAAGATTACCTTTATGAGGAAATGGTGGTGACAAACATGCCCTGTATGTGACAAAATGAGGCTTTAGGAGGGGGTTCTAAGGCTATGAAATAGTTGTAAGAGAGGCGGGAGAAGCTACAAATGCATACCACTCAAAATCCATAATTTTGAGTCGAATCGTGACTTTAAGGGCGCAGCATACCCCCTCCCCATTTTTTTTCTAGCTTTTAGTTTTAGTTTTAGTAGAGATTTTACGGCGCTCACAACTGCATAAGGTCATATGAGCGCCAGAAGATTAGAGGCGTTACAAGAGAGTAACAAACATAAAAAAGAAGAAGAGATGAGGACAAAAGAAGAAGCAAACCACGCCAGAGCACCCACCAACCACCCACTTTTATAGCTTTTGATTAAGTTCAGGCGCTGAAATTACGGATGGACATGACGGAGCGGGCCATGTTTTGTTAACATCGTAATCTAGCAGACGACTTTTAACTATACAATCTGATCGTTGACTCGAGCCAAGCCGTGCAGTGAGCTGTTGTGAATGAGATCAACTTGTGTTTTGCGCGCTCATATAATTATATGACCTCATACTCATGCAGTTGCGAGCGTCGTAAAACCCTTACTAAAATTTAAAAACTGACTCTGTTGACACCATCAATGTTCTGGCAGACTGGCATATTCTGCGTAGAATACATGTACATGTTATTGCGCTGCGGTCTAAAATTCGTGGCGCAACTTATCCTCAAACGTGTGAATCGTGGTCTAAAGGTACGGATTCGCCGCTCATTTAATATACCGGGTTCGAAATTTGACAGGGAGACATTTCTCCTTTCACCCTCTCTTCTGTCCTCCAGAGATAGGTTCTGTCATCTGTTTTCACCCTCTCTTGTGTCCTCCAGAGATAGGTCCTGTCATCTGTTTTCACCTTCTCTTCTGTCCTCCAGAGATATGTTCTGTCATCTGTTTTCCTCTCCGCTTTCTTTAATCCCCCACCCACGTACCCCCACCCACCCCCGACCTTCGGGCTCCTCTCCTCCTTTCCCCCTGACTCTGTCTTTCCTCCTGACTCTGTCTTTCCTCCTGACTCTGTCTTTCCTCCTGACTCTGTCTACTCCTCCTTTCCTCCTGACTCTGTCTTTCCTCCTGACTCTGTCTTTCCTCCTGACTCTGTCTACTCCTCCTTTCCTCCTGACCCTGTCTACTCCTCCTTTCCTCCTGACTCTGTCTCCATCTTCCTGACTCTGTCTTACTACATGTACAGCTCCTCCCGACTCCTCTTACTGACTGTTTTACCCTCAGCCCCACCCCTGCTCATCTTAGGGTAGGTAACATCGAACATCTGACCTTCTCGGATAAAGGTAAAAAAATGTCAAAAGTCCTGTGTGCAAGTTGCCAACATTAAAGATCCCTTCCTAAACGATCTAAATTGTGTTGATCAAAGTGTAAAAACACCAAGATAAAAAACTAAAGAGACAACTATATACCGATGCACCGCTCTCTACTAGTAAATGATGGAACAGCTAGAGGGGGACAAGGCAAAGTTTAGAATGACGTATACAGAAAGCCTGTATGTCCAACAGAAACGGAGACGGAATTTTCAAATATCTCGGCGTTTTGTTCCCTAGAGAAAAACCACAGTCTCCAGGTTCGAAAAACCCAAACTTTTCCCCAAAATCAACTATGCAGCTACCCTCACTCAAATGTTGATAGATTTTCAACCCCGTGTAAAGCATAATGCATACGTTCCGCGCAATTTACCGATCAGCGAAAGATGCACGTTTTAACGATTGTATAACTGTATCATTCTTGCGAGCCATTCAGTTTTATATATTAATTAAAATTTTAATTTTAATTTTCATATTCTTACACTTTTGAAAATATACGTGAATGTTCCTTGAACTTGATGTGAGTAAAAGGACAAAGATGGGATGGAAGTGAGTAAAAGTAAAAGGACAAAGATGGGATGGAAGTGAGTAAAAGTAAAAGGACAAAGATGGGATGGAAGTGAGTAAAAGTAAAAGGACAAAGATGGGATGGAAGTGAGTGAAAGTAAATGGACAAAGATGGGATGGAAGTGAGTAAAAGTAAAAGGACAAAGATGGGATGGAAGTGAGTAAAAGTAAAAGGACAAAGATGGGATGGAAGTGAGTGAAAGTAAATGGACAAAGATGGTATGGAAGTGAGTAAAAGTAAAAGGACAAAGATGGGATGGAAGTGAGTGAAAGTAAATGGACAAAGATGGTATGGAAGTGAGTAAAAGTAAAAGGACAAAGATGGGATGGAAGTGAGTAAAAAAAATATCATTTCAAAAACATAAAATAAATGAAACATACTTTGAGAACTTTGAGTTTGATACCTGGCAATGTATCATTCTTGTGAGCTCTTCAGTTTCATACGTTAATTTTAATTTTAATTTTCATATTTTTACACTTTTGAAAATATTGAATGTTCTCTGAAGTAAGTAAAACAATAAAGATGGAAGTGAATTTTTTTTTTTTAATACAAAATATTAACGCAATCCTCAGATTGCCGCACAATTTACGATTGTTAAAATGCGCAGTGCAATCTTATGATTGCAGCGATCGGAAAACCGCGTGGAACACATACACAAATGTATTTTTTACAACTCATCTGTGAAACTTTGGTACATATATATATTTACAAATATTTACATATATTTACATATATTTTTGCTCTCATACACAAACAAACAAAAAACAAAACAAGAACAACAAACCTATCAGCTCAGACAGAAAAACTGGAGATAATCAGGAGTCAAGATGTTAAGTCTTACAAAAAAACAAAAACAAAAATAGAGCAGAGACGTCTGACAAAGCCAAGAATACAGTCGTCAGTTTATTGGAAATTCACACACAGAGTTCACAGCGTTTGTAGATTTCACAGAGTTTGTCATTCTTTTCATCAAATATAATATATAAATATATATATATATATATAAAAGAGAGAGAGAGAGAGAGAGAGAGAGAGAGAGAGAGAGAGAGAGAGAGAGAGAGAGAAAGAGAGAGAGAGAGAGAGAGCGCTGAAGTGTGGGCAGCAGGAGCCTGGTGTGAGCTGCGGAGAAATAGACAACACACACACACACACACACACACACACACACACACACACACACACACACACACAGCAATCAACACAGGACACGCCAATGTTTGTGTGTGTGTGTAGAAATATAACACACCGATCAACACAGGACACGCCAATGTTTGTGTGTGTGTGTAGAAATATAACACATTGACAAAGAAACAAAGACATACTGTATATGACGACAGCATTTGATAGTTCCAAAATATGACAAAGCACATCATGTCAACATTTATTTGTGTGTTCTGATAAATGACACACTGACGGACGAACAGAAACACGTGTCAACATTTGTGTGTTCTGATAAATGACACACTGACGGACGAACAATAACATGTGTCAACATTTGTGTGTCAGAATGATAAATGACACACTGACAGACAAACAGTAACACGTGTCAACATTTGTGTATCAGAATGATAAATGACACATTGACAGACAAACAACAACACGTGTCAACATTTGTGTGTCAGAATGATAAATGACACATTGACAGACAAACAAC